CAGAAATACCTATGACAATGACGACGACGATGAATGACGTTCTCCATTTAAATTTAGCATGATGCTTTAATGCAGAAACTGAAAAGCACCACAACCTCTGATACTTTAAATAAATATTATTGTAAAAAGTGTGAAGGGTGTCGTTTTCTTTCCTTTTTTCCTACAATCGATCAAGCATCCTCCTGAATGCTCCCATATATCTTGTCCGTCAAAATCATTCACTGTTCAGAGGATATATAACAGCGAAAACATTATTTCTAAAGTTTTAGCGATGCCTCGCCGTAGACGATTGATGATCATGACCGTTTTTGATTCTGTGATTGGCGACAGGAGTTATTAAACAACTTTTATTCCAGGGGCCAGCGTTTCAAACGTCACCAAGACACAAGACCTAATGACAATCTATCACTAGCCTCCAAAGTGAAAGGTGTACTCTAACGATATGGAAATAGGTTCACTTCTTCATGAACGCTGATCACAGAAACCGTGAGCATCTTAGTGATGAAGAGTTCACTATGCTCTCTTAAAGTACTGAATCCAACGGTGGTTCCAATCGTTCCGTTCAGATTTTTAGTTGAAGCGTACTCTTCTTTTACAGGTCTACCTAGAAGAAATAAACAGTTTTGAGAAACTCTGATACCACAGTCTCGTTAACCGACCATTTCGCAGTGTATCACAGGTCTACACTGAAAAGGACAAAATTCCATACTCCCAGACCGTACTACTACTAACCAGAACACAATCCATCATTTCGTGGTTGCGCGTTTAAATGACGAGGATACAAACTTGCGACTAGAAGACATTTTAGCCACCGTTAACAATTTTATCAACTGCTGTACCTCAAAAATTAAACGGGTATTTCTCGCCTTGCAGTCAAATGACCAAATCGCGATACCAGTTCTTAAACAATGAGTGAATGCTTACATCGATCGGCAAACTTAGGTCCATGAAAAAGTCGTAGGTCGTCGATTTGTAACTGCACTGGTGACACATAACTGAAAACAAATACGGTAAGAAGTCAAAAACAGTTTGAAATACTAAAAGAAAATGACGTCGTCCATGGGATAGATTTATTCGCGTTCGTCAGTCGATGGTCAAAGATCAAGCAAAAATAACATGAACCAAACTGGAAAAATCTTACGGATCCCGCAAGGGAAATGCTCTGCCTTAAATCCAGCGAAGCGAAGCCTAACAACGAATTCTTGTTTAGAAGGAC